GGTCGAAACTCTGGCGCGTCAGGGTTCAGCATGTGAGTTGGCACTTCCCTATTTCTCTGCATGAATTCAACTTCATCTGATGAGTCTGCATTCCAAACATCTGAAATCTGAGGTTGAAGACTGTGAAGAACAAGAAGTAGAGAGAAACCATGTCGTAGTTGCCATCTCTCATTCGCTTCAAGTGAAGTCTCTCCATGCCAAAACGAGCAGTGTCGCGCTTCGATGTCCCTGCTGCAATATGTTTCCAACGCAAAGAAAGATATCATTTCCTCATACGTGGCGGTAGCAGGTGCAAAAAGTGCAACTTGTTCGTACACACTTCCCGTTGCTACTCTGTTGTTCAACACAGTAAGGACTGCAGCTCTATGGTCGGCAACTGCTCTCTGAACGATCAGAACGTGACATTGTCGATTGGCAGTGAAAGACATCCCTGGTGGATTGGGGTACACGATGTACAAATCAGTCGGCATGTTTGCCTCATGCAAGTCATGCCAGGCTCGAAGTATATGATCGTGCCAATGCCAAAATTCCGCAGCCAATTGGACTTCTCTGGATGCCACACATCGCAGTTGATGCGGAAAGCTCAGGAACCATGTCTGAATAGTGAAGGTTATGTCTTCATTTTCTGTCGCAATTCTTGTGTGATCTTGTCTGCGTTGATGAAGTCGCCTGATGATCTCTGGTTGAGTCGCAATGTCTTGTGGATTGGCCGCTGGCGGCTGCCAAAAAGTGTCACAAGAAGCCTGGAAGATAGGCGGCTCTTGTTCTCCTTGAGATCTAAAGGTGATGCATTGCGGTTCCAAGTCCGAATCCAGAAAGTCTGGTCGTGCATCTAAAGCTGGTGCTGTCCAAACTTGTAGTAGTGCATGTTCTTCTGTGACCTCAAAGTCAGGCACAATTGGGACAGCTGATGCTGTCAATGGCAAGTTGGTCCAGCCCATAGCTTGTAGTGCTTGGTAGTCTTGGAGTTCTGCAATCGTGATGCCATGATGATGAGCTGTCGCAATGTTGCGTGTTCCAAGATGGCAAGTGTCCAGTCCCGCTGGAGGGATTGCAATTCTAAAGAAATCTCCATCATCCAGTGACATGAGAGCTGCGCTGCCTCTGGGCGTCATACGGTTGTTGCGCCAACAAATGCATTCATCGTTTTGAGCTCGACAAAAGTGGCCCAGGCCCAAGGAGTGGAGTAAGGTGATTCTGCCTATATGAGGCGGCATCTTGTAGACCTTCCGGACAATCTCTGGTTGTATTGTCGGTGTGGCACTGTGAAATTCCACATCGATGAGGACCAGGCGCAATGCAGAGCCTGAGGATAAATCTCCATGACGATGTGCAATGATGGCTTCCGTATTTGCTCTCTCTCTAGGTCAGCTGGTCGTTGTCGTACATGATGTGTGTCATATAGATGACTTCTGGGAATGTCTAATGCTTGCGCAACCATGTTGTGGTATCCATCATGGTCATTCCAGTCTAATCGCAGGGGAACTTCAAGAAAGTCAAGTGCAAAAAGAACTGTGGAGTGCCAATCAGGAGCGTCTGCTGTGTCTTCCCTGTCCGACACCTCATCAAGCATTGACTCCGATTTCGAAACTTCTGGTTCGTATTGTACTTCTTGTGGGGGCAGTTGATGTGCTGCCTCATCAAAAGGGTCAACTGCAATGTTTGCGTCCGCCATGATGTGATGAAGTTCATCAACTGGTACTCGACGATCTTCGCGCCGAGGGGGAACAGCCATGAGGGTGACTTCAACGGAACTGTAATGCGGTTGAAAAATCATTGCTTCTGATACTCTCTTCGAGATGTCTAGCGGCCATTTCTGAAAGAAGGATTCCTGCTCCAAACCCACATAGAGCTCACCCTTCTCGTCAAAGGAGACACGCTGCCATGCTCTCTTGGAAAAAGTGTTTGTTGATGCTCGTTCACGATGTGGACCACATATCGGATCAAGCTCATATTGCAAGTCTAATGCCTGAATGGATGCCTTCCATTCTGGAACGAAGTTCGATTCATCCAATATAGAATGTTGCCATTGTAGAACAGCAGGATGCTGTTCAGAGCCTTGCCCTAGACAAACCTCCGCATGTTGGTCTATTTGTCGGGCTTGCCAAAAGGTTGCAATGCACCAGAACCTAATGCTGATGCTGTGCCATCCAATCTGGCTTTTTTGGCAGCTTGTCCAGCCTCTGCATCTTCGGTTGGTCTGACTCTGCCATTCTCGAGGGTCGTCAGCATTGTCTGGATGCCATTCTGAATCTCCTCTGCAGATGCTAATCTCTCCGGCACGTCCTCCTCCATGTCGTCTGAGATCTCTTCTGCTTCTAGGACTTCTGCATCTTGTTTGTCCAATGCTGACTTTGCTGCATCGTGTTTTTCCTTGGCTTCGATCATGGCCTCTTTGACCTCCGAAGCCTTCTTCTCCAAGGCTTCGTCTTTCTTTGCGAAGTCCTCCGCAAAGGTGCGCCAGCGCTTGATAGAGTCTTCCAGGTAGTTGTTCCAGGATTGATGCAGATTGGATCTGGCTTTCTGTGCTGCCATCAATTGCTTCCTCTTCTGTTCCAGGTGATGAAACGCTTGTCTGACAGACTTCGCAGTCGCAGGTGGCTGCTTGGTCTTCTCGACAACTTTCTGCACCTCCGCAGACAGAGGGTTCTCTGACGTTTCCAGTACTGCAAGAAGTTCTTGTAGTTGTTGCTCTGCTTGCGAATTGGACGCTGTAGAAGGCTGTTGCGGTACTTGCGCAACTTCTGTGCCCTTCCACGGTGGGTCTAATGCTGGAGCACCATACTGTGTCTGTTTCTTCTTGCCTCTGGGTGTGCTTCCTCTGGGTCTCGGTGATTGCGTCACCTTTCTGGTCTTGTTGGTCTGCTTCTCCTTCTTGGTGGGAGCATTCCATGTCGAATCTTCCCATTGTTGATCTTGTCGCCTTCTGGGACTCTTGGCATTCTGGCTGCCGTGCACGTAGTTGATGCCCACACAGCGTTCCCAACTAGTGTAGCAGGAACCACATGTAATCGCGTGGTTCTTGTTCAACCTCTTGCACCATACGCAGCGCCACGGTGCCCTGGATTGGTTCGACATTGCCTCTTGTAGCCGTCGAAGAAAAGCAGGGTCCTTCGAGTGATGCCGTCCAAGCCGGTCGTGAATGGATGCCAGCTGATTCCGTGTCAAAAGCCGCAAGCCACAACGATGGAGGTGCCACCTGAATCGGGCAGAAGCCCTTCCACGGCGCTCTCTCCTTCTCCAGGTTGGTGTAATCCTTGGATACAAAGAAGATCACAAAGACGAAAAAGATCAAAATGGGCATGTAGTTGCCAAACACAAAGTGGTACGTGGCTGTAAAGACCAGGGCAAAGTCAAACTGATCAATATAGATGCCAGGCCCGACCTTGAAGTCAAAGTTCTCTTGACCGTCGCAAATGCGGTGTTACCGGTTGGTCACTCCGGCAGAGCACGAGGAAAAAGGCCACAGGTGATGGCCCGCAGGCAGGTGGTCACAAATGCCCGCCCGCTCAGGTGAGGTGCGAGGGGACTACGGATTCCCTCAGCCAAACCTATATATATATATATATATATATATATATTGTGATATGTTATAGAATGGACCCACAAATTTGTAGGTTTTTTTTCAGAAACCCGGTTTTTCCATGCATGTTGCCAAAAAAACTTTTTTTAAAGCAGTTTTTTCCCAAAAACCCGTTTTTTCGGAGTGTTGGGCATAATATATGATTTCATGGATTGCTTATGGCAACCTTTTGGGATTTGCTGTGGGGTGATGACCTTTTTCTCGAAATAGTGAAAGCTGCAAACATGTGGTAACCGAATCACCCAAATCTCTGAAAACCTGAGTGGAAAGAACTTGTACCTAAAATCGCGCCACAGGAGAATATGTTGTCTTGTTAGCATGTTTCCGGAACCTTAAACTCCCGGCTGGATTTTTTCCGAATTTTCAATGGGGAATCCTCAAATATCGCAGTTTTATCGGATTTTCGATGGGTTTTACATGGATTCGTGGGTCCACCATGAAAAACCGATATTTTGCCCAACCTAAGCAGTACTAAACCGATATTTTTCCCATACAAAACCCATATTCCGGGAATAGAAAAAAAACCTAGTTTTTCAGAACACATAATTAATCTGTAAAAGGCCCATAATTAACCCTTACTGACTCGTACAAAAATTATGTTTTTTTTCCTCTAGAAATGTGTGGCTGTGACGCTGAATTTTTTAGACTCCGTGTAAAGGACAGCATATATGAGCGCCAATTACCAGTGCCGAAGATGATCCATGCCCCACATTCAAGCTGTGATTTTGTTTTGATTTGCGGTCCTTGTAGCTACATGAATATGACACTTTCGGACGCAACACACATTTTTGAACAAAGTTGGGCCATCATATATCCGAGACAGTAATCTCTTGCAGACATAACAAATCAGATCCAGTTCTGACTTGAGAAAAGCACCCGCAGTTGGAGCAATTCTACTTTGCACGATGGTATTGATCAACTACTTTTGTGAAACACAACAAGTAGATCAAGAAGAAACGCAGATATTTGTTCCTTCTAAACAGTACATACAATCACTGAAAATGAAAAACCCGGTTTTTCTCTGAATAACATTTTTTTTTAAAAAAACTAGGCCTACAATTTTGTGGGTCTTTGTAGCTCTAGGTAGTTTATATATATATATTACATTTTATATGGTTTTCATACATAATCTTAGACATATAGAACATAGTATCTATCTATATATATATAATATAACTATAATTCTGACTTAAGCTGTAATGTGAGACATGATATTTCTATTTCTACTTTATCATGACAAACAATCATATGACAACATGTGGAACACAGGAAAAGACATTTTTCTTATAATACTTTTAGATTTCAATAATTTTGGATGTTTGGACCATCTTGTATGTTTAATATTTATTTTTTTTGTTCTCAAATATGTTGCCATCCCATGAACCAATCTGAACAGTCGAATTTGTTACCTACGGAGGAGCGGAAGCCGCTCTTGAATTTGGGCCATGCGTGGAATGCTCAGGGCCCTTGTCGGATGTTCAGGGACGGACCTTGTCAGAACTTTCCGACCTGGGAATGCACAAGATTTTCTTGTCTTCGCAGCTTCACAGCTGATGTCTTGTCATTCTTTTCAGAGTAACCATGTAGGGCTCATAGGGTCAAAATCTCCATGATTTCACCTTTTGGTGTGGAGTTGTGTGGCACATTGTGAGTTGTTTCTTTTGGTTCTTCTGCTCCTACTTGTTTGGATTGTGTTGTCAAAGACGAAAGGAGCAAGGCTGACCTTGAGAAACGAGAAGGATCAAGAAACATTGATGCAACATGAACAGTCAAGGCTAGTCAAAATCCGTACGACCAAACCGATAAATCTTCGATTTTGTCCCCTTGGATATGTTTTTCATACCGAGGAAACACAGTGTAGACACGGTTTAGACACAGTTCTCAGTTCATACTCTGAGTATTTGCTGAGTGCCAGGAAAGATGCATCGGCTCCACCTGAGGGCTGGGTATTGCGCTTGAACCCATTTGAGGCACACACTAACACTGTCTTTACAGTCGCTCCGGCATAACTATTGGCACTATACATCACTATACATGATCATGATCACATTGTCGATTTCGTCAGTTTTTGATATGTGTATCCTACATATCTCATGAGGTCTTGTTTTTGTGACAACGTTGTGACAACCTTGTTCCGTTTGTCTCTCCACGGCCGGACGCCGGAGCTTTTCACCCGCTCTGCTCGTTTCTGCTTGGTTCAGCCAAGACCGGAAAACCTGAGAAATTTGAGAAAACCGAAAGAAAACCGAAAGTCGAGCCGCTCGAGCCAAAGAAAATCGAATCACAAGAAGCTTAAAGAAGCTTAGACTCAAATCTTCAGCCAAAATGTCCTTGAAATCCTTGATAAAGTTACGAATAAGTTGTCAGCAAGGAGCAAGTTCTGAACTCGCAGATGTTGGGCCGAAAACAGCTGTGGTTGGACTTTGGAACGTCGCCTAACCCGGTAGCTGTTTGGCTCGGGACTTTCAACTCGGAGCTTCGAGCTCCTTGACGTCAACATAGGTCTATGTAGTTCAACTCTGAACGTGAATTGGAAGGTCAACAGTATGTAAACACTATGTAAACACAATGTAAACAGTATGTAAGTTTGTTTTTATCAATGTAACATTTTTGAATATTTTTGACATGTTGATGCCGACGAGTGAACGGTTTCAGAAACCCACATGATTTTGAGATGCATTGTATCTCGTTTCAAACTTTGGAATTCAAGCAGCAAGAACGTGGAGAAGATGAGAGACATAAAGACCATAAATCATGTGCCATCTGCCTTTTAATTTTTTGTTCTCTCGAAAGAACTGAGGTTACCAGAAATGGGCCATTTTGATCGCTTGTCCCTGGACTGAAAGTGACAAGACATCCAAGGGGTGTCTATGGGTCTGCGGTGGCTTGTGATCTGTGATTAGCAAAGCTCAAAGAGAGAGAGAGAGTCGATAGTAACCGATAGTACGAATACTTGTGTCAATGGCTTGTGTGGCCTGGCTACCTCAGGAAGAAGTGCAATGGAAAAGAGAAAGACGCGAAAGATTCCAGAGATAAAGAGAAAGACGCGCGCGACGCACGCTTGAAGAAAACAGACAAAGAGCTGGAGGACTGTGGTGGACTGTGGCTGTGCACTGTGTGTCAAATCTGTTCTGACTTGGAGTCGAGGGCTACCTTGCTACATCTACCGCGGCTTTCGAGGAAGAAAGGAAAAAGAAGGAGGAAGAAGAGTGGCGATCTCAGAAGATTCCTGAGCTGTGTTCCCCTCAAGCCTCTTGGAGCCTCTTGGAGCCTCTTGGAGCCTCTTGGAGCCTCTTGGAGCCTCTTGGAGCCTCTTGGAGCCTCTTGGAGCCTCTTGGAGCCTCTTGGAGCCTCCTCTTGGAGCCTCTTGGAGCCTCTTGGAGCCTCTTGGAGCCTCTTGGAGCCTCTTGGAGCCTCTTGGAGCCTCTTGGAGCCTCTTGGAGCCTCTTGGAGCCTCTTAGACTTGAAATCAACTTGAAATGACTTGAAGAAATATGAAGCTCGACTATGTTCGACAATGTTCAACTTTCGCTTTCGAGGTTCCGCTTTCCAAGGACTTGCTCTTATCCTTTCAGTCAGTTTTCCTCCAACCTGTCTTCAAAGTATCAAGACACGCAGAGTCCTCTGCTTGAGGTCATAGAGTTGGCAGGACTCAAAAGCGCAAGAATGCAGCACTCAACACACACTCCCGCAAAAAGTTCAGCAACAAAAACAGCACAATATTCAGCAAGAAAATGCTTCAAGAAATCAGAAAATGCACAGGAAAATTACGGCCTGAACAAATATCTGAAGAAGGCTCCAGGCACAATGTGTTCTTGGTACTTAATTACTCTAACCTTCATATCTTTTCATATCTTTTCATATCTTTTCATATATTTTCATATCTTTTCATGTTTTCTTAGTACATCTTAATACTTGTCGTCAGGACTTAAAGACCTGCGTTTGCATGAAGCTCTTTTGGTCCTCACCTTGTTCAACACTTGTACTCGATCTCTTTGTCCTCCCATTTCCAACACAGCTGGACTTTGCGCAGCATCCCAATGCTTAGGAAGGAGGAAGAAGAGTTGGAGAAAGAGTGCGAAAAATGGCCGGAAACACAGAGAAAGACTGAGAGTGGTTTCAGAATGTCTCAGCGAAACATGCCAATGTTGCGCAACATCGTAGATTTGGCCTTGACCAAGGTGCAGCATTGTCTGTAACTTGCCTGAATTATCTCAGGAACTCTCTCATGGCCAAATCACCAGACACACCCCGAGTCCTCCCGGGATGTGAACACGATGAACACGATGAACACGATGAACACGATGAACACGATGAACACGGCACATCACATGTTCATCACATGTTCATCACATCGAGTTCTTGTCGAGTTCTTGTCGAGTTGTCGAGAGGCAAAGTGCTGATCATGGTCATCACCTTAGGGGTACTGACAGCGTTTCGCGGAGCACTGACAGCGTTCCGACATGGTCAGAGCATGTCAGAGCTATTAATCCTATGATAACCCTATGATAATCCTATATGATAATATGATATAATAGTGATTTGTTGTGATTTGTTGTGATTTGTTGTGATCATGTTGTCATGTTGTGTTGGAGTCCAGACTGGTACTTCGATTGCGAAACTCTCCGCCGAGGTGCCTATTCTGGTGACGTACCTGCTGATGCCAGCCAGAGAATTGGTACTACGACCAGAGATGACGATAGATACGTCAGCTGCCCCAGTTTTTACAGTTTTTACTGTCACCGGAAAGCATTGAAAGAACATGAAAGAACATGAAAAAACATGAAAGAACATGAAAGAACATGAAAGAACACTTAATTCTGAAAGGAATTGCGTTTACAAAGCACTCAGCTGAGGAACTGATATGAATTGATTTAGCAGATTTCATGCTAAGGCCGAATCTGAGCAGCTTGGCTGGCACCAAGATGCTGCAGACTGGACCTTCCTAGAAGCCTGACAAAGCATGACAGAAAGCATGACAAAGTGGACAATTAAAAACTCATGGGAGATCCTGAACAATTAAGGTGGCATGCGTGCAGTGCCTGCCTTAGCGCTTTCCTTTGGAGGTTCCAGGTTTCACCAGGTTTCACCAGGTTTGACAGATCTTGAAAGACGTGACAGGACCTGTCCAGCTGTTGTAGACTCCGGTAGACTTCGACCCGGTGGCAGCGCAGGTCGTTACAGGTGGCTGCTCGGGTGCAAGACTCAGAGCTCACTGTCGCAATTCCGAACGTAAACCTCCAACAGAACTGCAGACAAATCCAACAAACTTCCTTAAAAGCCTTAAAACCTCCCTAAAACTCAAGTGAACTTCCTTATTCTCCCTAAACATTTTCAACAAGTGCGTCTCAAAAACTTGCAAGCAACTACAGCAAAACCTTATGGGTCTAATTCCACAAGAAGCGTGAAGAAAGGATTCAGATTAATATAGGTATGCCAACAAAAGATACGAGTTTGTCTATTGCCTTTCTCATCTTCATGTGCCTCCAGCGGCTCATTCATGGAGGAGCTGAGAAGCAAAGCTCCAAAGTGGCTGATTTCAGATCCAACAGGTTCCGGAAGGCATAGCTAATTTTATCAACAGCCAGTATTTGCATTGCCTTCAAAACTCGAACATACAGATAACATCAGAAATACATCAGATAACAGAGCAACGAAGGAATTTCACGAAGGTTTTTCAGGAAGTACTGCGAGCAAGGCAACGGACCAGACGGGGGCAGAAAGGAAAATACACACGCAGCATGAAAAGCAAGGCAACGGACCAGAACGGCCCCAAAACCCAATCGGAGCCACCTCTCGTGCGAGAAGATGGAAAGAAAGATATAGAAACAAGAAACAGGGAAGGGGCGGTTAGGCAAAAATTTAACTCTTCCATCTCTGAGCTTTTTGGGGGATTCGGTCGAACTTTTGTTCAGGTTCGTGTGCTACAAACATCCAACACAAATTAAAGAGAGGTGATTCACAATTTTGATCAATTTGCCATTTACAATGGTGAAGAAAAGGGAAGAAGGATGGAAAACAGATTACCTCGCAATGCCTTGCATGTTCTTGTATTCACTCAGATCTCAAGATTTGATTGATCCCGGTTGTGGTTCTCACTGGGCATACTAAATCGAGAAGCTCCAAGTACAAACTTCGTTTGGAGATGAACACTGACATGCCGAATCCCGGAATTCGATGGACTTCGATGGACTTCGATGCAATTCGGCAACATGCAGTCGACGTCCATCGGAAATGCTGTCGGAAATGTCACGTTGACACGTTTCGTCACGTTTCGTCACGTTGTGAGGTCTCGGGCTTCACACAGCTCTGTTGATGGCTCAGCCAAAGTCTTAGTGAAAGACCCGGAGAGGGTCCCACGGTCCCGGAGACCCCATTCCAGGACCGTCTCCACATTGTCTCCATATGTCTCCCAGTTTTCCAAACATTCTCAAGACCTTTCGTTCAGAATCCTTCAAATTCCTATGAATTTCCGATAATATAATTTCAAACATGTCTATCTTTCTATTTAGATTTGCTTAAGTATAATTTCCATGTTCTTTCTATGCTTGTTTTTCTTCAACTTTTCTTCACTTTTCTTCACGAGGTTGGAAAGGCGAACGGGCAAAGAACATAGATGTTCAAAAGCAAATCAGCGACAACTCTACTGCTGAAGGGCACACTCAAACCGGAACACTGCAGCCGTTTTCTGGCCACTGCGCTGTAGCTACGCGTTTCGTCCTCTGTGGGACTCGTTCAGGCCGCGCTTGTAGCCAAAAAGGGCTTTGAAACGTATGCCAAATGTCTAGCAAGCTCCAAAAAGCATGCGCAACACTTGGCAAAAACAGCAGGTTTGTGCGAAACGTATGCCAAATGTCTAGCAAGCTCCAAAAAGCATGCGCAACACTTGGCAAAAACAGCATGGTTTGTGCGCTTAAAAAACCAGAACCCACCTCCCACCACATCTGGTTGCGCAAAGTGCAAAGAAACGGAAGTCAAAGTGGTTAGTGCCAATTCAAACTGAAATTTCTCCTGAAATTGTTGCATTGGATGCTATAGGAAAGAAAAACTTCTACACGAGAAGTGAACCTAGACTGCACAAGAGACGCGTGTTTTTTCAAAACACGTTTTATGACTGAGACGTTCAAAGAAGAACTGTACTGCTGGCGGAAAAAGAACTTTCGTGGTTGCTGCTGACTGGCTGTCGAGCATTCTAGTTTCTTGACAGTTTGCATGGCAAGGCGTCGTGCCTCCTCTTTGCAGTAGCCTCTGTGTTGCAGTTTGTCAAAAAACAGGTCTAGGTGCTTGGCAAAAGCTTTGGCATTCTTCCGGTTTGTTCGGTGTAGCCTCTGCGTCTCACCAATCACCAAAGCTTTGAACACACTGGGTGGGTGACATGAAGTCCGTGGCAAGTACAAGTATGCGTTCTGCGGCTTTCGGAAAGTCTCAAAACAAATGGAACGATCTCCCATCTGCAGTGTCAAACTAAGATCCAGGAAATTCACTGCCATACCGGAACCAGACATCTCCCAAACGATGTTCGGATGCCAGATGTTGAGTTCTTGAAGACACTCGTCTTTTGAGTCCAGAGGAAATATTGCAAAAGCATCATCTATGTAACGCTTCCACATGAAAATCCAGGAACATCTCTGAACAAGAAAATCGTCAAAAGCAGCAAGGTACAAGTTGGCAAACACGACGGAGGCTTGCAATCCAGTAGGTAGACCACTTTGTACATGCCATATGTCTGCTTCAAATTCGACATATTGTACGGCAAGCAGAAACTCAATGAGCTTGACTATCATGGCCCCAAAACTGGGCTTCGAACTCCAGAAAGACCTCACTTTGCTGGCTATGACACTGAGGAAATGCCGTTGGTCAATGCTGGGGTATAGATTCCGCACATCAAACGTGAACAAAGCAAAACCAGGAGGGACAACGCAATCCACAAGCTGTTTCACAAGATCTTGCGAAGACTGAATGACATGCAGCTGTCTTTGTAGCATAGGCGCCAGCGCTTCAGTGAGAAAAACTGACAAGGGGCTAAACCAAGCCTTGCTCAGGTTCATGATTGGCCTGCCTACCACTGGGGACTTGTGCAACTTCACTCTGAGTCGAAAACTGCCAACATTTTTGGAACCGAAATCCTTGCGGATGAACGCTGCTAGTCTGGTGGATATGGAACCCGCAAGCACTGATTGCTGCAAAAAACTATCCAGCAGGAATTTCAAATTGGCAGAGGAATCCAGGAAGTCTGCGCGGGAGACTTTGTACGAGGCTTCCTCCAGCAATCTCAAGCACTCTTGCCTAACCCAGTGCTTGGGCACAATTGCATCACCAAGGTTCTTGTCGCAATCCACTACGCTGATTTCACGTCGGTGTTGCCATAGCCATTTCCGAGCAGCTTTGTCAATGAAATCTTCATTTTTGACAAGTTCTCGAGGAGAATAGCTACTGAGTTCTTCTCGCAGCAGCCTGCCATATGCAGAAATGATTGGATCCTCTTTGGGCTTCCAAGCAGTTCGGAGACGGCAACGTCTGAAAAAGGTAGGTTCAAGTGCATGTCTGTCAAAAAACACTGCCGTATTCAAAGACCTTTCCAAAGCAGAAACGCTTGTCAAGACTTTAGCAGCTGAACTGGCACATCTGTCCGCCACAAACTTTCCGCCCTTCGACAAATACGCAAGGACATACGTGGGGATCTCAAAATCTGGCGAAGTCAAAATATGAACTGGCATGCAAAAACGACGTTCAAGCTGTACAAGGGACATTTTTCTCAGTCTAAACTAAGGTACATGTCAAAGTCGATGCTCCAATCATCCTTCCAAAAACTTCGCTTCCTAGGTCTGTGTGATAGTCAAGACCTGTTGTGTGGGGCTGGGGTCTTCATACGCACTTGCTTATGACCGGTGCCCTTGGACTGCCCTTTGCCTCGGGTCTGCTTTCCTTTGCCCTTGCCCTTACCCTTGCCCTTGCTTTTGTTTCTGCTGGATGCCCTAGAAGCCCTCGAAGACTTGGCACTCTTCGCAGACTGGCGGGATCTGTGCGAACCAAGGCTGGACTGCCTACTCTTGATAGACGTTCTGGAGCCCGATCTGCCACGATCTTTGTCATTGGATCCCATGGGCTTGGACTTGGGCTTGGACACAGTTGAGCCGACCGAGATATTGTACTTCTTTGCCGAATCTGGATGCTGCTTGACAAAATAGGCCAGGGCACCAGTGGTTGGTACGACATGCTGTGACTTCTGTGTTCCGCTTTTTCCTGACAGAGTTGCAAATTCCAACACTGCCATGGCCAAAATCTTATTGACGTCCATAATCCTGAACTCGGCTTCAGCTTTTGTAAGTTCATCCTTTCTCTTCTGTTTGGATTCCTTGTCCTTCTCCTGCTTGGACATGGCCTTCGGATGCTCTGTTCGGAAGACCAGTTCAGCAAACACCTAAAGTTGTTCTTGCAACCGAGTCTTGGCCTGCGCGCTCACCAAATTGCCATGCTTCTGCTGCCAACAAAGAAAACGATCTTCAAGAAGAATGAGTTGCTTTGTTGGGTGGACTCTGTCCTCAAAGAAAGCTGCGCACTGTCGCTGGTAAGCAAACACAAAGCTCTGGCATTCCTGAGCATGCCGGCGTCTCATAGCTCTGAATGCTGCCTCAATGTCGAACGGACCTGCAACGTCAGCTCTGTACATGTCCCTCTGACCTTCTTCAAGCAAAGCCGAAGTTGTGGTCAACTCCTGGGCGTTGGCTTTGAAAGCCTGAGGCCACTGCCAACTTCTGGTGCTTTCATCTTGGAACTGCTTGTGAAGTTCACCAGACACTGCAATGTCTTGATACTTCTGCTGCAAATTGGCTTGTGTGACATGCTGTTGCAGAGCATTGCGATAGTCACAGGCCCACTCCTTCAAAACAGGTTGGAGCGAAGGATCGAAAGTGCCGAGCATGTCTTCTGGATTGTTGTATGCCGTGGGTGTCTGTGTTTGCTGCCTGAGCACATCCATCTGTTGCTGTAGCAACTGGTTCTGCACCTGCTGTGACTGAACCAACTGCAACAAAAGTTGCTGGCTACTTGGCATGTTCTGTGCTTCTGCTGGAGCTGGCAATCCTGGAGGCGCTGTGAAGGCTGCATGAGCTGGGTGTGGATGACCTTCATTAGGCCGACTACGACTTCGAAGAGCCGCGGCTGAGATCATGGAATTAGCATGAGGTGCAGGACGCTCCATGGCGAATGTGCTGGTAGTTGCGAACACTCTACTGCTGAAGGGCACACTCAAACCGGAACACTGCAGCCGTTTTCTGGCCACTGCGCTGTAGCTACGCGTTTCGTCCTCTGTGGGACTCGTTCAGGCCGCGCTTGTAGCCAAAAAGGGCTTTGAAACGTATGCCAAATGTCTAGCAAGCTCCAAAAAGCATGCGCAGCACTTGGCAAAAACAGCATGGTTTTTTAAGCGCGCAAATCACATTTGGATCCCAAGATGGTCGTTCAGCAAAGAGACGCCAGAGAAAGGTTTTCAACCGTCTGAAGGAAAATCGGTACCAGTGGTCTCGGTGATGCAGAGAAAACAAGAACTTGCATGGAGGAGTGGTAAGAGTCAAAAGTACAAGCTTCACAGAAAGACTTATACAAGCAGATAGAGAGCGCGCAGACAAAACCAATTTGCGAGAAAAGACGTTTGAAGATGAAGGAATCAGTGCGAGGAGACAAATGATATGTAGAACGGGCAGAAGTGAAAGCGAGAAGCCAACCTCAGCACGCTTGGCAAAGCATTTGACAGGACAAACGGCCAAAATGGATTCTAGCAAGGCCGAAAATGTGGAGTAGAGATTTTTCCTCTTGATTTTGCATTCTATCCCACCTTCACCTTTGCTTCGTTAAAATCTTCTAGTAGATGCTTTGAATGATTTTGGAAGGACTATTTATTGACAATTGGTGTCGTTCTAGGTCGGGAGCATCTGTGACGTTGGGCTGCCGTTCGAATTCCGAGCTTGCGCTGCTTGGAAGAAAAAACAACACATTTTTAAAGAGTTTTCGACATTTTTTTGTGGTTGAACTATGTTGAACTTTCACATGTTTTTTTCCGTTCTCCCATCAGAGTTCCTTGAATTGGTAACAAAAAAGGCAGTCCGATGGATGCTGAAGAGATGAAGTCCCATGTGCTCAAAGGTGTGAATCTGAGGTTGCAACGCTTGAAAAAGGTCAGCAAGGCCAAAGCACAGCCTGCTGCAACTCAGCTTCAACTATGCAAGGCCTATGCAGCTATTCATGCAATTTCTACGATGCAAAATCATGTGGCTCCACCAAAAGTTCACCCCAACGGACAGCCATGCTTTTTCTAACGCTTGCAGCCCTACGTTGCACCTACGTGGCACTCCTCGCCAGCGAGCTTTCATGAACCTCTTAACAGTGCAGTTGTACTACCCTCGCGCCAATATGCCTTCATCAAGCAGTGAACTTGCTCATAATCACAGTATTTCACCGTCAACATTGTTTGGGTCAGATTGCAATGCTTCGTTCCAAGATATGCCAAGATGCTTTTCAAGGTGCGTTCCATTTCTTGTGTTTCCTTGTGGCGGACTTTGCGTCTTGGGTCTTGGTTTTCTTATGTTTTCTTGTTGTGCTCAGCTTTCCCAAAATTGGTGAAAACTCCTTGTGCCGTGCTTTGCGCCGTGCTTTGTGGTGAGAGTTCTTTGGAATGCTGTTGAGATGGCCCGCTACTTGTACCTGTGTCTTTTAGCTTCCGGATACATCACTTACTTATACTTACTTCACTTATCTTCACTTTCTTTCGGGAACAAAGTAATCTACGTTGCTTGACAGATCTGGACAGATTGAGTCTTGTATTGGCTAGGTACTGCTAGGTGCAAGTCGGTTTGTGGTGCCCATGTAGCCAGGGGCTGCGCGGGTAACTTCTGTGATTTGTCTGAGAGGGTGTGTCTACTGTGTCTATGGCATAGTATGGCATACGAAGTATAGCTATATAGCAGATGACAAGCCATACAGCGATTTTTTTCGCGTTGGCTGGGTGGTGCTCAGGTTTGGCCTTTAGAAATGGACTCTTTCGACTCTGTTCGCTCTTTTGCAGAGAGACTTGGCTCGTGTCAGTTGGCACAGCTGCCTTTTCAGCGGATGACAAAGGCATACAATGCATACAACATGTCCAACGGCTTTAGATTTGGAGAAGCTCTGGACATGCTTTTGCAATTCGTTTGGGGATTGGTTTATCTTGTCCTTGCTCTTCGCTTGCTCGCAAGGAGATATATTGAGAGCATAGGAACGCACGACACCTAGAAGTGCCGCTTTCAGAAGCTTCATGCTTTCAAAAGCCCACGTTGATCTTTCAAAGATTGTCACTCTCTTTCAGCAAATCCAATTGAAATGCAAAGAGTATGAATGATATTCAACAAGATTGGTCAATTCATGTCAATTCTGACCTCTGAAACTTGAAGAACTTGAAGAACTTCAACTTGGTTTAAATTGTTTCTGCTGAAAGAAATCTTGTTAAAGAAAGTGGAGATTGCTTTACATGGCCTGACCTGTTGACGGGCCCTGAGTCCTGACTGGTGGTGACTGGTTGTGAGGCTTCATATTTTGGTGAACAACGTGGGTAGCACCAAAGCCTGCAGCCTCACGACTGATGGCATTGAATCTGCCTTTCAGGTCGCCTTGCGTGAGATTCACAGTGCCTTACAGTGCTTCAATGTGAATTCAATGTGCTTCACCAGTGCTTCACCATCTCTAGGATTCTCTGTGGAGCCTGCGGTCTTACGAGTAAAGCTATTGGCTTTTTGCCTTGACCTGTGAAACTCGAACTAGGAGCACAGCCTTCACAGCCTTTAGATGGCCGTGTGTTCTTTTGATTCATGGGACGTTGTTGATATTGGATGTCCTTGTGCTGATAGAATTTTGTGTTATTTGAGAGTAAAGGCCGTAAACGCCTCAGTTACAAGCAGAAAAAATGAAACAGTCATTTTGCCTACACGGCACCTTCATTTTGGGGTTTTCTGCACATTCCCCAACTAATTGGTTTTGTTATTTTTTCAGCCGTCTTTTGTTCACAGCAGCGATTCTGCAAGCTTGACCGGTCCACCGTTTGGGTACCGGCAATGCAGGAAACATCTGGAAAACGTGAAATTCTTTACTTGGTGAACCACACTTTGCAGTGATGTAACGGCATATGAACGTGCATACATGCCCCACCCCACATCCACGGTGTAGCATCTACTTCATGTGCAACTGCATGTGAACGTTCATACATGCCCCACCCCACCCCCCACCCCACCCCCCACCCCACCCTCCACCCACACAACTCTCATCTCTGTTTCGTTTGATTGCCATCACAAAGAAGATTGAACAGTTCTGGATGATTTTTCAGGATTTTGCGTACTTGTCTTCTTGGATACTTTGGTGTTCGGCGGCTTTCAATGCCATAAACAGTTTTTACAAAAGAGTTCTGGTGAAAAGGTTGATCTTTTGGTTGATTTGCCTTCAAGACTGTTCACGGCCAAAATGTGGTCGCTGGACATCTCTGGACATCTGTGGACGCGCTGCGCTGCGGAGGTGAATTATTTGAGTCACTTCCTCCTCACAAATCTGTTGCTCCCTACACTTCGGGCAAGCAGCCCCGCACGAATCGTGAACGTGGCCTGTCAAGAAGGCACTGACAAAGCGACGTGACGACTTTAATGCAAAAAAACATGTATTTGTCAACGACCGCTTCAGGGAAGTATACGATACGATTCCACATATACTCCACACTTGACCCTGAGGATTCCAAATGAAACATCGAGATGTCGTCAAATCACTTGGGCACGGAACTCCGAGCTCCAGTAGCCCTTCTGTTCCCAAGTTGCTCAATTTGCTGTCTGTTGTAGTGGCACTAACATGTGTTATACATATATGTGTATATAACATGTGTGTTTTTTCAGTTCATATGAGGGCCTTCGGCATCCTGCGCCGAGCGCCTGCCGCTGTAGGCTACCTGCGGGCCGCACGCGGCTGGAGCCATCGGTTCCCCGAGGACGTGGAATCCGTGGAATCCGAAGCGGCAGGGGAAGCGATGGCGAAACAACACCGAGCCATGTCAGATTTTTAAATTTGATTAAATTTGCACAATATGTAGAAAATACTGTATATCATATGTCAGATAAATATCTGACATGATATAATATGATATCATGAATATAAAATTATATCATATAATATCATATAATTATGATAAAGGTGATTATTTATAAAATACTGTATATCATATAATACCTGATATAATATCTTTGCACATATGAATATATATCATATTATATCATATTATCATATCATATTATCATATCATATTATATTATATCATATGTATGTACGTATATATTGTAACATCATTAATTGAACGATAAAGTTTGAGTAAATATATAACATGTCTCTAAAACTAAACCATTTCTCTTGAAAAATATTGATGTGTAGACGTTGTCTTTGACATGTTATCTGTTTTAACCCAAAGCCACATTCTGCAAGGTGCCCAGGGAAACAAGACATGGCAACTGGAGGTTTTTCAGTGTGGGTGCATTGAAGTCTCCACGCAAGCGGATAGCTACTGTGGATATCGGTGGATTAGTGTTTCGTTGCTTTGTCACTCTGCCCAGTGCATGTTTCTGTTGGACTTTGAATCCACCCTTTCCCCAGCGAGGTAATTCGTATGTTGTTCAGTTTGTCCTGTTCGGTATCAAGACGCTGATTTGCAGGGGATCTTGCAGGGCTGGCTTGGAAGCCCAGTGCCCATTCAAGAGACCATCAGGCGAGTTGCTTAGCGGCTTAGCATTGGTAGTGGAAACACAAATTGAACACAATTTGAACACCTTCAAACCAGAGCTCCATGAGCGCCTTAGCACAGTTTGCAGGTGTTCGCATTGAACATTTCGCTGCCAGGGTAGGTTCTGTGCGACTTGCATTCAATGCAGAAAGGCACCAGGGTACCGGGGACTTCGTCGCTAACGGCCTGTGTCCAGTGTCCTTGCGATTTCAGGTTAGGTTCCCATGGTCGAAGCTTAAATAAGGCAGTTTGATGCTTTCGACATCTTTGATGTGGGAATAACTTAGGCATTTCTAGGATGTCACTTTGCGAGCGCCGAGCTGAACAGAAAAGAAAGAGTCCCGAAGCATTTTGACAAACAGAAGACCACAAAGATGAATAAAAATAGTAAAAAAAAAATATAGCCATAATATAGCAATATA